TGACTGACTGACTGACGGACTGACCGACTGACTGACTGGCTGACTGACTGACTGACTGACGACGGAGGGACTGACAGACTTCTCCTAACTCAGTCTGACTGACTGACAAGCTTATTTTCTTAATTTTCTAAAAAATATATAAAAAATAATGTCTGTACTCAGAACGCAGTTAAAAATCATATTAACTGCGCTCTGAGTACAGAAATTATTTTTCTTTTATATATTTTTAAAATCATGATTCCAGAGCGGGAAAACAATATTTTGGATTCTACTTTCTTCATTTTAACTTACCTATTTTTTTACTTACATACTACTGACTGGCGGACTGACTTACTTTACCGTCGTGACTCGCTCGCACACGTTTTCCAACGCTTCGACGGCTTGATGTATTTACTCAGTTCGAGGTGTGACATGGTCAGTGTACTGTCTAAGGCGTTTGAGACTTGTCAGAGTGATTACTTTACTTTTGGTTTTGCGACACTTAATTTAAAACAGCCCTATTAAAATTTATTTACATACTTCACGTATAACGATTTTAAACAGCTTATAGCAGACGATAAGTAACTACCTATAGATTCACAAGGAACATGAAGAACAACTCTGAGTCATCAAGAGAGTATAATCTATTATCTATCTAGATTAACCCTTATGTTTAATACAGGACTAAGACGGTTAGTTCAGAGTGCCAATATATAACATCATAAAATCAACGATTCAGATTGTTCTATTGTTGGCTAAATATTTCCAAGTATTGGACCAGGTACTGTCTCGACACCACTGAAATATTTTCTATCTTGTCCCTTACTGTTCGAATGGAATTAATCTAAAAGTAATATATTCAGTGTTCAACTTTTTATTCCAGATGACTTTTCCCGCTTCTTTTCCGGTTTAAACATGATTTGTTTTTAAACACTAATCCTGATCTCAATCGAAATCGCATCACCTCGGCTGAACTGGAAAGTTTCTCAACGAGACATCCTTTGGAAATCTTCATATGAACTTCGGCCAGACCAATGCACCCACTGAAAAAATCCGTTTCGTAGTAGACCTATTACTGTCGATCATTGTTACGTTGTATTCGCAGTATTTTGCAGAATGCTGTGCGGTATTTCTTGCTTCTGAAGCAATAAATGTAAGGATTAACCGCTGAGTTGATAGCAAGCAGAGTCTGAATCCCGAGAAAACCTTTTCTAAATAAAAGCGGATTTCTCAAAGGGTGGACAAAGGCTGGAAATAGAAATAAGGGTGCCCAGCACAAGGTGTAAGTTCCCACGATAACGAAAATGTTTTTGGCTACTTTTTTCTCCGCTGCGACCGCATCAGGTCCCAGAGGGATGTTTTGAACTCTGTTTTCTTGTCGTTTGGCGGCAACGAAAATATAAATGTACATGATTAAGGTTGTAAATAACATCAATAGGTTGTAAGTTGAGACGTAGCGCGTTGAAATGAAATCACGAGCATACAGGGCCCCGAATGTAAGAGCAACTAACCAGACAACCACTATCCCGGCCAATGTATTTCTCGTTATCATGACATTGACGTACTTGAAAGGGAATCTTATCGCGATAACACGATCAACTGTCACTGCAAACATGTTGGTTGCGGAAGCGACCATGGAGGCATGTCCAAGGAACATTTTAACGGAGTGAGATATAACGTACTCGTCGGTACGAGCTCCGTGAAAGAGGCTGAAAATCATCATCGGCAGATACAGCGCGCAGACTGAAATATCGGAGGAGGCCAGACTTGAGATGAAAAGATCAGGTATCTTGCGATGGTTTTTGAGATTGTAAACTGCAAGAAGCACCAAGAAGTTTCCCAGGGTTCCGATGAAACTAGCCAAGGCGCAAACTACAGACAGGGCTATCGCTTCATCTTTAGTTAAGAGGACACCCATCTCGGACTGATACAGATTAGTTCCTTGAGGAATGCTTGAGGAACAGTTCCAACATGATTGGTTTAAGGGTTTTGACGTGGTTTGAGCCATACTTTGATCTAGAACAAACTACGAGAATAGTGAATTAGTAAATTAAACTTTTAGTTAGTTACCTTTTTTTTCAATTTATCTCTACATGGATGGCTGAGTGGTGAGAGCGCTCGCCTCCCACCAATGCAGGTGGCCCGGGTTCGATTCCGGCCCGGTGCCATATGTGGGTTGTTTTTGTTGTTGGTTCTCGCCTTGCTCCGAGGGTTTTTCTCCGGGTTCTCCGGTTTTGCTCCCTCCAGAAAAATCAACATTTCCAAATTCCAATTCGATCAGGATAGAGGACCAGCTGGGCTGATGTGGCTTCCTCTCTTAATATTACGATTTATTTATTGACTAGGGATAAACTGGAAAAAGCTACGTGAGAAGAAGAAAACGAATCACAAATAGTTGAAATTTGAAAATTGAATCAAAAATTACTATAACTTTATTAACTTTCTCCGCAGTTCAAATGATCTTTCATATTTTCATTTGTGTTTGTTTTTCTCCCTACGCCCTGTAGATGTATCTCTGATGATTTAAGGTCGCCTTAACCAGTTAGATTAAAAAACTAAATCGACGGAATCGTTCGTTTGTCCTCCTAGGGTCTGAGATTTTGTTTGTGTGTCAAAAAGTTAGCAAACGATTGATTTAATTACTTAAGGGGATCGATTTTAAGTTGAATTTACCAACCTTCAGTTATCCAGCCGGTCACTGTTCCGTCTTTCAGTGAGCAATCTGCCTAAGTCTGTGAGGAATGGAACGATGAATACAATATTCTCTGATTATATGAAAGCTTGTATTGAGCGTTCAGTGCTTTATAATCAAAGTTGCTATTGTTTAGTGAAAAGGAATTCCTTCCTGTCCTGTTATTAAGATGGAAAATAATATGTACTAATATCTTCTTCACGGAAAACGATACCAAATTACTTACCCAAACTATGGTTGAATAATCTTGACTTATGATTAATTCTCAAATAAAAATCTTCAAACCTCTTGCAGCCGCTTTTCTGCCATAGATTTAAATTTTACAATAACGTAATTTGCACATTTCGTGCGGTTTTGACTTTTTGGCAGAGTGTAAGTACTTATTCCTATTTTTAATTACGTTTAATTACGTTTATTGTTAAGGCTATGATCCAAGTTTGATTTAGTCATGAAAAATACCCTATTCAGGCCCCGAGAGAGGCGTGGAGCTTATCAGTTGATTTATTTACGGATGTGTATCGGAAACGGAGTGAATTACTTGGAAAATCCGTTTTAATTTTGACCACTTATAAAATTATCTTTTAAATGAAGGAGACATGAAAATAGTAATTTACTAAGACAGAAAAAAACCAAAGAGATAATAATAAACCATAAAGGACCAAGGATGGTTTAGGATGGAGAAGATTAACACGAATTACAGATCACGAACTTCAGTGAAAATACTAGGTTAAAGGCCTAAACTGGGTTGGTCAACTGTTAACAGAGGGTTGGTATTCAGTCCTCCCGAGGATCAGTGATGTTACCATGCGCGTTGCGTAGATTGTTTCGTGAAGAATTAACTGATATATGTGTCAATCTTCTTCGGCTGTCCGCGTGAGTAAAATTCACTTTACAGGATTAGGTAGGATTGGCAACTTTTAAACCTGGGATTTCTGAAACCGAGAGAGATCACAGATAACTTGAGAGGGATTTTTTCTGGAATAAGGCCTATATTGGGGATTACCTCTCTTGCTCTTCATCTTCATCGTTCATTTCCCTTCGAGATCATGCTTAATACCAGGAGCCATAATCGGGGACGGAGACCGTAAGTCTTGGAATCCGCGCGCACCTATTGTAAGATCCAAGTGTAACATTTTTTCTATTATTCGTTCTTGCGTAATTTGTTTTTCCTTTGCGTACNCCACGTAGATCTAAGAAAACGTAGAGCCAAACTTGTGATTTCTTCACTTCTCCAAAGGAAAATCTCTGGCTGTCGAAACTAAGAAACTCCGTACTAATCTTCGCACCAGAGATCTTAACTGGTAAAAGGGAACAGAGCCGTAGGCGCAGTATTTACGGCTTTAGAAAGGTTTGTAATGTCCATTAAGTGATCAGTCGATCCAGATTTCCGGCCAGACTATTGTTTAAATTTGTGAATAGAATAGTACCTTGTTATACTTAGTAAAAAAAGCTGTTGAAATCATTGTTCTTATTTTTTTTCTAGTGGTTCGTGTGCCATATTTTACGAGTTGTTTTGAATGGAAAGAAGCGATTGCGAAAGAGCTCACTTCCTGACCAATCAAACATTAATTGAACACCGGATTTAATTCCTGCGATGTCCAAGGACACCGTGCTGTTTTGTTTACAGCGAAGAAGTGTCCTCTATTAACAAATACATGTACCATCTGAATAATCTGTGTTTGGTCTTTGTAGATAAATAGGAAAAATAAAAATGTCTGTTGTACCCTTGTTTCTGAGTCTGTATTCACTCGATGAACTTGACGGGTACGTGTTTCTGCTGTCAGATCGCGGTCTGATTAAACTGATTTCTAAACACGTCTCTTGTGAAGAGCTACGTGTCGAATAAACTAGGACCCCTGCCGATGTTCTACGGTTCAACCGTAGAACATCGGCAGATCCTCATGAATCTCGTCATGGGACACGAGGGAAGAGTAGAGAACACGAGCCGCAGGCGAGTGTTTTCTACATTTCTCGACTGTTCTCAAATGTCCGGAATGTTTTATCACAGTGTAATACACGGCTTAGGCTTCTTTATTTGTTAATTTGAGCAAAACGGGGTTTTCGTTATGTACGCAGTAAACCATGGCTGCATGCCTTGCTCGACGTAATAGCTGGAGTGTAAGATCCAAGTGTGACATTTTTTCTATTATTCGTTCTTGCGTAATTTGTTTTTCCTTTGCGTACGCAAATTAGTTTATACTTCTTTTCGTCCTTTTGTTTGGTCTTTTTTTCTGCGTCAATTTAGGTGTTTATTCCTTTCTGTCAGTTTTCGCGCCCTCGTTAGCGTTTCTTTGCTGTTTCA